TATGGCTCGCACCACTGCTTCATTGTCGCTCGTAACTCCAGCTTTCAGCACATTGAGGATTTCTTTAGCTTTCTCTTGCTGCATCATTTAGAGAGACCAAAACCAAAGATAAGAAAGCAGATTTGGAAATTTAACCCGAAAAATCAAATCAGATGAAGGACAGAGACTGTTTATGGTCGACAAGACTTACAAAGAGGTCAAACTTTCTCTTGAGTTCTCCATAGGCAGGATCTTGTGCCCCAGTGACTGGTCCTGCTGGGAACTATGTCCACATATGTAATAAAATAAGTTAGATATTATTACAAACAAATTGAAGGCAGACACTAATGGTTAATTAGAGAAACAATTCAACACAAGTTAGTTCAATTCAACTCGTTTCTACTTAAAAGAAGATATAGTGAACAAGAGTGTGACTAAGTACGCATAAAGCCAGTTTAGTTTTCACACTAACTGAGCAAAATCATAACCACCTCAAGCGATACACCAACGACCACTTAAATCTTAATTATCCAAAAGGAAATTTAAACTTAGAATCAAGACAAGGATAAGCCAAAAGCCAGAGACGGCGAATATAATATAAAAAAACTCTGTAAAATAGTCAGATTTGGCTTTCATTCTTAACACACTCGAAAACAGACAATGCTTAAAAAGTGGAAAGTGACATTGATTTCAGTTTCACAATCATTTCTAAATTGACGGCGAAGTAAGTGAACAGAACCATACGCAGTACTAAACGTCGGACATTGCGAACTATCTAAACAGAGATCACAAACTGTAAACAAAGAGAGAACATGAGAAAGAAGTTACCTTTCTTGGTCTGCCTACTGGTCGTCCACGACCGCGCTTTGGTTTGGTAATAAGCCGATTGATAACACCACCGGTCTTAGGTGGTCTTCCTCGTCCACGCTTCATCCCTGGAGCCACAGCCACAGTCTCTCCACCAGCTGGAGCAGTAGCACCGCTAGTGTCAACAACTCTCCTTGGCCTTCCTCTGCGTCTTGCACCGTTTGCTACATACGGAAACACAGAGACCGTCGATGACACTGATTTGGGCTTCCTCTGTCTCCCAGCAGCTCTACGACCCGGTGGCCTACCTCTCCTTTTCATGATTCCTGCCATAACCGAAGCCTGAAGAATCGGACCAGCTCCGTTCTTCCTTGGACGACCAGGTCCTCTCTTTGCCGACTCCGTAACCTCCCCTGTCGGTTGAGAGACAGGTAACTGGTATTGTCCGTTAGACTGGACAACGTTAGGTTGAACAACACCGGT